ACCCGAGACACCTTGCGCGCGGGAGACTAACACGTTCCCGCCAAACGCCTCACTGTGCCGCCTCCAGCTGACACGTGTAAACAAACATCAGGTGATACATGTTTAGCGGCGTTTGAGGGGAGGTGTGTGTGTGTGTGTGTGTGTGTGTGTGTGTGTGTGTGTGTGAGTGAGGTATTTACAAATAGACCATTAAAACCTCTACCTCTACCTCTAGACCACCACGATAACACACCTGTACTCCAAGTAAGATATATATCAAATAACAAGGGCGCGGCCGGGGATTGGCTTGTTGGGTTGGAAGGTGCTCACAGGCGTTCATTAGACCACGGTTTGACTCCCTCATCAGCCATCCAGAACAGGTTGTGTCTCTTCAGGTACTTGACAGAAAAAAAAACTCCCCGGCCAATCCCTCGTCCAATGGTCATCTAATGCTAGTGTCAAAGAATGTATTAAGGCTCGTGTGGGTGTGTGTGTGGGAGTGTGTGGGTGTATGTGGGTGTGTGTGGGTGAGACAGAGAGACACATACAGAGAGAGAGAGAGAGAGGGAAGGATATGTAGTGTGTTTGTAAGTGTTGTATAATGTATGTTGCATGATATATACAGGTTCCGGCGTCTTGTTTGAATGAGATTTGCTTCAAGTTTATAGTGTGAACGACCTTTAAGCCCTGCCTAGTGTGTTGTTTGACGAGCTGTTTGTATTTTTGTTGTTCCTAACCTAACCTAACCTAACCATACCTATAGTTAAACCCGCCCACCACCAGTTAAAAGAGATATCGCTTTTTTACACGGAGAATAAACCACGGAGAACACTGGCTACACGGAAACACGGACGCCACGAACGCCACGGACGCCACGGACTTCCCAACGCCAGCTATTTCCTTCCTATCGCTTGGAAATAGCTCTCGATGACATGATACTTAACTCTTCTGAAAGGCGGGTGTCCGTGTGCCTCTCAAGACAAATATATCCATTGTTTTCCTAGGATTAAATATGTCCAATGTTTTCCTAGGATGAATATATCCAATATTTTCCTAGGGTGAATATATCCAATGTTTTCCTAGTGTGTACAGCCATTGGTGACGACAACATGGAGGTGGGGGAAAATCTTGGCAGGATGAGGGACGACTGGGGAAAAAGACCCCAAGGTGTTCAGGGTGATATAAGAACACAAGAACATAAGAACAAAGGAAACTACAGCGGACCTATTTGTTCATAATATCCATCCAACGTATATTTGAAGCTACCTAGCGTGTTCGAGTTAATGATGATGTGCGGTAACTTGTTCCATTCATCCACTACTCTATTTCCAAATAATTGTTTACCTATCACGCACCTAAATCTATATTTGTTTAATTTAAAACCATTGCTATGAATTCACTCCTGATTGGATAGTTTGAGTACCTTTGTTATATCACCTTTGTTTATCTCTCATTTCCATTTATACACCTCTATCATATCGTCCCTCACTCTACGTCTCTCGAGGGAGTGCAAATTCAAATGCTTTATAACCTGTCTCTGTACTCAAGTGTGTTGGGGGTATAAAGTGGCGAGGAACCTGACCTAACCTAACCTCATCTGGCCTGGCGTGTCCTAACCTAGCCTGTCGTATCCTAACCTTACCTAACCAAACCTGAGCTGACCTGACCTGACCTATCCTAACCTAGCCTTTCTTATCCTTTCCGTCGAACCTAACCTAATCTAATCTATCCTTACCAATTAACCTAACCTAACCTAACCTAATATAACCAAGTGGCAGGAGTACCTATTACCACCACCACCACTATAACTACTGCTGGGGGTGGTGGTAGTGGTGGTGGTGGTGGTGGTGGTGAGTCATCTACACTACAGTATTCCTAGAACGACACCAACACCTCTCTTCCCTCCCGCCCCGCCACCCCAATGAAGCAGCACCGCCGTCAGCCTTGTAGGGATGGTGGTAGTTGTGGTGAGGTGGGGAGCAGTAATGTTGATGGTATTGGTGGTAGGGATGATAGTGGTGGTAATGAGAGAGATGGTGATGGTAGAAATGGTGATAGTGGTGGTGGTGGTGGAGATGGTAAGGATGATCCCATAATGATTAGGAACCTCAGGTTATTTCACTTAATGACGAAACATTTTAACCTAACCTAACCTAACCTAATCTAACCTAACCTAACCTAACCTAACCTAACCTAATCTAATCTAATCTAACCTAACCGAACCTAACTCACCCAAGAAGCATTAAGGTGAAATAAACTGGGGTGTCTAATCATCATGAGGCCCGGAGGATAGAATCTGACATAGTGTTTAACTGTCTTGTTGTCAGCGTAAGTCGGACTTTATACTATATTAAGCTTATCCTTTTGTCAGTTCAAGTCTGCTGTATACTTCGACCAGTTTGTTGTGACATGAGTTTGTTGTCAGCTTAGGTTATTGTCAGCTTAGGTTGTTGTCAGATAAGGTTGTTGTCAGATTAGGTTGTTGTCAGATAAGGTTGTTGTCGGGTTAGGTTGGTGTCAGCTTAGGTTGTTGTCAGATTAGGTTGTTGTCAGATAAGGTTGTTGTCGGGTTAGGTTGGTGTCAGCTTAGGTTGTTGTCAGATTAGGTTGTTGTCAGATAAGGTTGTTGTCGGGTTAGGTTGGTGTCAGCTTAGGTTGTTGTCAAATTAGGTTGTTGTCAGATAAGGTTGTTGTCGGGTTAGGTTGGTGTCAGCTTAGGTTGTTGTCAAATTAGGTTGTTGTCAGATTAGGTTGGTGTCAGTTCAGTTTATTGTCAGCTCAATTTGTTGTTAGATCAGATTGTCAGCTCAGATTGTTTTCGGGGTTGTTGTCAGCAGCAGTTTGTTTTTAGCTCAGATTGTTGTCAGGTTGGTATATTGTCAGTCAGTCTGTCAGTTCGTCATGTTTTCCGAGTTTTAATACAGGCTCAGTTGTCCTCTGATACAAAGAGCAGTTGTCCTAGCTTTGATGTGACCCCAAGCTTACCCTAATCTAAGCTTAATTCAGCCTAACCTACCCCAATCTAAGCTGAATTCACGCCTGACCAACCCTAATCTAAGCTTACTTCAGCCTGACCTACCCTAATCTAAGCTTACTTCAGCCTGACCTCCCCTAATCTAAGCTTACTTCAGCCTGGCCTACCCTAATCTAAGCTGAATTCACGCCTGACCTACCCTAATCTAAGCTTTATTCAGCCTGATCTACCCTAATCTAAGCTTAATTCAGCCTGGCCTACCCTAATCTAAGCTTACTTCAGCCTGACCTACCCTAATCTAAGCTTACTTCAGCCTGACCTACCCTAATCTAAGCTTACTTCACGCCTGACCTACCCTAATCTAAGCTGAATTCACCCTAACCTACTCTAACTTAACTAATATCACCTTACCTAACCTAACCTTACCTAACCTTACCTAACCTAACCTTACCTAACCTTACCTTACCTTACCTTACCTTACCTTACCTTACCTTACCTTACCTTACCCACCCAACCTTACCTAACCTAACCTTACCTAACCTAACCTAACCTTACCTAACCTAACCTTACCTAACCTTACCTTACCTTACCTTACCTTACCTTACCTTACCTAACCTTACCTTACCTAACCTAACCTTACCTAACCTAACCTTACCTAACCTTACCTTACCTTACCTTACCTAACCTTACCTTACCTTACCTTACCTTACCTTACCTTACCTTACCCAAACTCCACAAGGTATCGTTAGGGTGTTTAATGAAGTGCAATAAGCAAGGTAAGCAATTATTCTGGTGATCCGTAATTATATTTGTGTGTGTGTATGTGTGTGTGTGTGTGTGTGTGTGTGTGTGTGTGTGTGTGTGTGTGTAAAGTCCTCCTCATCACCAAGTCCTACAGTTATTCTCATGCATTGTTCTTTGTTGTCAGTAAAAAAAATAAATATAATAATAATAATAATGATATCAAGAAAGGTGGTGGTGGAGGAGGAGGAGGAGGGATGGAGGGTAGGAGGGATGGAGGGTAGGAGTGAGGGAGGGATGGAGGGAGGGAGGTCACAATAACCTGGGCAGGGGAGGGAGAAGACCTGGATACAACCTGAGACTGGGCGGAAGATGGTCCAGGCTTCTCATCTCACCTGCCCCACCTCACACCCACACACCACCTCTCTCGCTCAGACACTCTTACCTCCCCTCATAACCTGCCTTAGCCTCTCTGTGTTTACGGAGCTGAGGGACCACGTGAGGAGTGTAGGGAGGAAGTATGAGTGAGTGGTAGAGACGAGGAGGATGGGGTTAGTGAGGTAGCATGTGTTGTGTGTGTGTGTGTGTGTGTCGGAGGAGAGGCGGGCGGTCTGCTGCTCAGGTAGTCTGGGCCTCCCCTGGAACACTGAGGGACTGCCATCTCTCGCCACATTCACGCTTATATATTTATTCTCAGTTTAGGACATCGTGTTGGTCTATTTACTCGGTGTTAGTGGGTAAAATATCGTGTTATTGTGGGTATGGATGGGGTAAAAACGTGTTGTGTTGATAATTGTCGATTTAGTGGGATAATGTTTGATAAATCACAACCAGCCTCTCCGTCTAGATATTAACGGACCCAGCCCCCCTCTCCAACTGTGTTACCTTTGCTCAAATGTCAAGGCCAGGTACGTTAACTTGATTAACTCTTGATCTGTTTCTAGAATTGAATCATAGCTTACACAATAGCTGCCCTGTGTCGTCGTTAACAAAGATCATGTTATGAGAAATTGAGTGCGATGGTCACCCCGTGTTAGCCCCCTCGTCTCCCCCTTCCTCCCCCACCCCCACCTATGAGGAAGAGAGTTGGCGGATGTGGAACTTATTCACAATATTATTTAGCCGATTTAGAGTTGATACGTGTTATGTACTGAAATTACACGAGGATATATTAATCTGTGTTGTGAAATGTGTCCAGAAGGAGTAATCTGTGACTAGTGTGTGGGGAATAAATACGCAGCATAAAAGGGTATCTGGCAGTGCGGATCGAGTAGTAGACACAAACTACGAGAGACGATCAGTTTAGTTCACGTTCAACGTTCAGACGGGGAAGTATTGTTCTGGATTTATCTCCGACTTTGGTGCTCGGGCGCTCGTGTAGCGAGAAAAACCAGTGATCAAGTTAAGAATCAGTGTTGATCAATCAGGCACGGACTGAGGTGTCAAGGGGTAGTGCAAATATTGCTGTAATTCGTGATCTCAAAGGATTACTCTACGTGGTTTGTGGGAGTTGAGAAACCCAAGTTACTGTTAGAGTGTTGGCAGGAGTGGATCTGCCAACACTACCCCTAGAGGCGGTTTTTTCTCACAGGTAAGTCGGATTTTCAACACTGCCTGACTTGTGCTTTTATTAGATATTTTGCCGAGGCGTTTTATATTTCAGGGTCGCGCTGCAAGAAGTTTTTAAAGGATAGCTTTTGTGGTGTTGTGGAAGACAGTGGAGGAGCCTCTCACCTGTGCTGTGCTGGCCGTCTATAGTTCACTTTATGGTCCATTTTCTTCAGCGCTCGACACGGGTTACGGCACACTATTATCGCCTCCCTGTGTGTATGCACTTGTCTTCAGGTGTACTGTTAACTCGGCCAAGATAAGTGATGTAATGTGGACTGTATCGCAGAAATTACCTATTGTATTACGCATTGCATAATAGCAGGAAATATTGTGCTGGTCGATCAGTTCGTCACAAACTACTTATCTGCCGTTATCTGTTATCGAGGAAAATGTGACTATCATGAACTTATCACAAGAAAAAACTTGATATATAAGAAACCTTTAATTCAGGTCCCAGTGTCGTGTGATAATTGCAGAGCGCAGACAACTGAGTTAGCCATGCAGAACGAAGGGTAATGGATAAATATATTTGAGCTTATTGAGGATGTTTGACGTGTGAGAGTGAAGGCTGTCAGCAGCGTGGACGTCACCTGCCTGCTGACAACCACTGGTTTTAGCGGCGTAAGTCCCTGACAAGTTCCCAGTGAGGGCAGGCAGCGTGTCGTGTGTTGAGCTGATGGGTGAGCATGCAAGGCTGAGGCCACCACCCACTGGAGGGGCCACCGCCGGGCCCCTCAGCTAGCTAGCCTCCTGCGCTGGGGTGAATGTCCTGTCTCCGCTTACCTGGGATTAGCGTTTTCTTGACCCCCATACGCGACCTGGGACTGTGTAAAACTAGTAGGCAATCCCACCAGTACCCTGCCAGACACACCGAGGACCCCGGTCCCTGGTGGCTACAGCGCTCCTCCCAAGGTTTTATTATTTACCATTTGGGACAGTCAGTTTTGTGCCTCATATTATACATTCAGAGTTGGAAGTTTATTATTTAAACGTGTAGTGAAGCATTTCCTCGGCCCTGTACTGTGTCCGAGCTTGAATCTGGAGAGTTACATGTTACGCTGATGAGCCGCAGCCCAGTGTGTGTAGTGGTGTTGTGTATTCATTATGTAAGGGGTGGTATACCCATTACGGGATTACCGTGTATTATTATCACATAGTAGACTATACAGAAAACGGGGTGTTAGTGGTGGGTGGTAAACGGGGTGTTAGTGGTGGGTGGTATAGTAGAACCTGGATTAAATACCCGTGTGTAAAGCCTCTTAGGAAGTATTATCTTAATGTGTGTTGTGCTGGAGGTGTCGTGGGTCGGCTGGGCGGGCGATGGTGCATCTTGTGTGACTTCAACCAGGAGAGAAAATTATACCCCACGTCCCTTCCTGGATAAAAACAAATAAAGTATAAAGGTTTGCCTGTGATATAACCTTCACGCGTTAATTAGTGTTCCTAAAGAAGACACAGGTTTAATTAAGACATGCTGTGCAGGTGGTTTAGTGAGGGAGGACCTGTAGGAAGGTAAGCTGTTCACACACACACACACACACACAACTTGACATTTGAAGGCATCAGACACACACTCGGACTCCCCGCGTGTCAATACTGGGTGTCTTGGCCATATTATTTACCCGGGAGTTATCCGTTTTCGTTAATAAGATGTTGAGGTTCTCTTGCTAAAATATATATTATCGGAATAATTGAATACCGATATTTTGATATAATTGAAAAGACGCGGGTGTGAATGTCTCATTTCTTACCAGCAAATAAAAGTAAACTCGCGAGATTAATTTATGAATGATGTGCGGAGGGAAAACACGGGTGATTATTGGAGAGTGCGGCAGGCTGGTGCTTACAGCCCACTCTAGTGTGTCAATTGCCAATACACCGACGAGGCGACGAAATCAACCTGAGTAACGTTAAAACGAGCATAGATTTCCGGCATAAGGTGCGGCCTGCAGTAAATAATGTCATCGATTTACATCAGCCGCATCAATATGTTGTGTACAAACCCGTCTTTTTCAACCGCTCATCCGACATTGGACGATTTTATAAATTGAGTATAAGACTTTAGTATCGTTCAAGACGCACAGATTATCATTTGCGAGCCGAGATCCTCCCCCGCTTGTATCTTGTCCCAAACACAAAGAAACAAGGCGGATGGTACGGAAATCTACACCCCTCCCCCCCCCTTCCCCCCCGGCCTGTAGTCGAGATTGCAATATGAGCTTCGATGACGCAATAACGGGGTTCGATACCCAACTGGAGGGAGTAATAAAAATGAAGAAGGGAAGACTTTCTATAATGCTGTGTTTCACATTATTGTAGAAGGGCAAATATTCTCCCGTTCTGGTGAAGTTTATCAGGGTGGCTGTGTTGGGATGAAGGGGGTGAGGTGAGCGCTGCCTGCCAACTTGTGGAACCGACTGTTTGTAGGAGGAAAATTTGTGTAAGCGGGAGGAAAGAACTGACTCTATACTGTCTCGTTAACGATCACCTCAAGATTAGACACCCCAGTTTATTTCATCTGACGATTCATTGCCATAATGCTAATCTAGTTTTGCCTAATCCCCCCCCCCTTTTAGGTAGCGTTTAGGGTGGTTAATCTTCAGGTGATACTTTGTGAACATTAACAATTTGTACACACACACACACACACACACTCTTCCACGTGTTATTATATGTTACATTAAATTAATTTGTTGCCATTATCGATTAAATAAAAATATAACATGACTCCACTTCGGTAATTAAATCGGGTTGACCGTATATATTTAACCCAGTAATTAAAATCAATTCATTATAGACACTGGCAGACGATGATGCAGGTGTGTGGTGTGCGAATTATACCACGGGTGCGGGGGGGAAAAAAATCATATCGTTGTCCTGGCGGGGAAAAATACACACACACACACACACAAAATTATCCCCATCATCCGACTCATTATGTAAACAAGAGCATAAATTAACGACTAAATATCAATAATCCTGTTTGTGTTATTGTGTAAATATATATAAAACAATATTTACAATACCAATGGAGAGAATATTTAGTGAGTTATTAGGTGAACAGGTGCCTTATTGTAGCTTGGTCGGTTGTGGAGGAGTACACGACATAAGTGGTATTGTAAAATCGTCTTAAATAAAAACGCCTGATAAAACAATAACTATTTTATATGTATTTTTGGGTATTATGTTAAATCTGTAATTACAATAGCTATTTTGTGTGTTTCTATTAATATTTACTAGTTGGTGTTAAGTGTGTGTGGTCTCTTAATAGGAGTTTTAAAGCGGGGGATAAATCCGGGCCACAAAATTGGTCAATCCGATTTAAGTGTAATGATTATGTTAAGACTACAACAGCATCTTCAGCGGCCATGTATACCGCAATCTCCATGTATTCCAACCATGTATATATCTCCTGCGTCACTGTGTAGCGACTATGTATACCGCAGTCCCCGTGAATTGTGACCATGTAGTGTTTATGTATACCGCAGTCTCAGTATCGCGACTATGTATACCGCAGTCTTTTAGTATCGCGACCATGTATACCGCAGTCTTCGTGTGTACCGCAGTCTCAGTATTGCTACAACATATATCTAGACATTTTACCTGTTGTCTATTTTGATTAAATTACTATTTCTCTACGGCATTATTATTATTATTATTATTATTATTATTATTATTATTATTTTTATCATTATTATTATTATTATTATTATCATCATCATCATCATCGTTGTTATTATTGTTGTGGTTGTTATTATTATCATTGTTATTATTATTATCATCATTGTTATTATTATTGTTGTTATTTCTACTCCTCTCCAGTTTTGTGTAGGGTGGAATAAGGGGTTTAGAACATGAGAGAAGGGAGGGAGGTAATGAAGGGTGGGGGGGGAATTAAAGAAAGACAAGTGTAGGGTTTAAACTATAATTGTATGAAAATAGTTTAGGTAATGGGTATTTATATATATCTGTCTGGTAATGATTCGAGAGGTTGTTGTTGTGGTGGTGGTGGTTGTGTTTTGATGGATGTTGTAGTGTTGTGGCGGTGGTGGTTGTGGTGTTGTGATGAATGTTGCTGTAGTGTTGTGATGGTGGTTATAATTGTGTTATTGTGTCGTAGTGTTGTGGCGGTGATTGTTATAGTGTTGTGGCGGTGATTGTTATAGTGTTGTGGCGGTGATTGTTATAGTGTTGTGGCGGTGGTTGTAGTGTTGTGACGGTGTTATAGTTGTGTTGTGATGGTGTTGTTATTGTGCCATAGTGTTGTGGCGGTAGTTATGGTGGTGTGACGGTGTTATAGTTGGGTTGTGATGGTGTTATAGTTGGGTTGTGACGGTGTTATAGTTGTGTTGTGACGGTGTTGTTGTTGTGGCGGTAGTTATGGTGGTGTGGCGGTGTTATAGCTTTACCATAACGATATAAAACGCACTATTTCTCTAGTGCGTCGATATAAAACGCACTATTTCCCTAGTGCGTCAATATAAAACACATTATTTCTCTAGTGCGTCGATATAAAACGCACTATTTCCCTATTGCGTCAATATAAAACACATTATTTCTCTAGTGCGTCGATATAAAACGCACTATTTCCCGAGTGCGTCAATATAAAACACATTATTTCCCCTGTGCGTCGATATAAAACACATTATTTCCCTAGTACAACGATTTATACTCATTATTTCCCTCGCGCGACAATTAAAACCGCGAAGTTCCGAAGCGCGGTGATTTAAACCGGGTCTTTCTCAAGCACGGCAATTTAAACGGGGTACTTTCCCTTATTCTGCGCTTTAAACCTCGTTGCTCCGAAGCGCGGCTATTTAAACCTGGCATTGGCGGCTATTTAAATGACGCGAGACTTTGGCTGGTACGGTATCACTAGTTCGACGTCTCGTGATATATCTCGAGGAATTGATACGATACAGCAAATTATTTCTGTCCACTGCGATGATTTTGACCGCAATTTTCCTCTTCCACTTCTTT